GCGGGGAGGGGTAGGGAGGCAGGAGGGGGCGGGGACCGAGGGGCTGGGGTTCTGGAAGGCTCCTAGGACGGGGGACAGAATGGGGCGGAGGGCCAGTGTTAGGGACGGTGTTTCTTCCCCTCAAACTGCGAAACAATTCTCAAATTTAATTCTTTACCGATGGGACACCCTCCTCCCCTTTTGACCTTTGGATGACCAGGGTGGCTGGGACCCCTGGAATGCACAAAGTTCGTTTGGGCTTAGGGGTTTGGAAGGCCTTTGGGTTCTCTTAGCTGCTTGCGCTGGTATTTAGAAAAACCTCTCTCCCTTTCTTATGGGTCAGGGAAGCAGTAGTAAATGACACCAGACTTATCCACATTGGGAGTGGAGGTACGGCGTCAGGGGCAGGCGGCAGCAAGAAGACCTTTACTTGACCTGAAGCCTTGGATCTTCTCTTTCCAGTGTGACGCCAGCGTGCCCCTTTGTATTCCTGTCACTTTTCCCAAATTTACCCCCCTTCTCGCCTTCCCCCCACCATGATGTAATTTTATTTTCTGAGGAGAAAAAGAGCAGCAGTGAGCTCAGCATGCAAATATAGACAACTTGCACAGCCACACTTAGCTCTCTCTCCTAGTTCTGCCCCTCTGCCCAGGCCCAGCGTGGCAGCTCTCACTTCCCCTCCACCCCAGGGACTTTCCTCCCCCAGATTCTCAGCCAGACTGAAAGAGGGAAGGAAGAATTGGAGAAGCATCTCCAGCCTAAGGGGTCTCGCTTCAATTTTGGCAGAGTCTGGCCATGGGAAGAGATCTAATCACCCTCCGTGTCTGGGCCATCTCACCTCCGTTCCAGCTTGGTAGGGACTCCCCTGGAAGCCTCAGATGAGCCCCTCTGTTCTTGGTTCTACACTGCCCCTAGAAGAGGCTCAGGCTCCTACTGCTTCGGGTTTCACAGCTCTTCTCTTTGCCATTCTTCTCCCCAGCATGCCCTGCCACTGCCCCTTTGACAGTAACACACCCTCATAATTTGCCTTTGTATATATATATATACACATATATATATATATATCATATATATATACAGCAGTATATATATATATATATATATATATATATATATATATATCATTTGCTCTGTGTCGTAGGGCCAAAACCCCTTTTGTTGACCCTTCTTTGAGACTCAGAGAAACTGTATGACTTATCTACAGTCATGTAGCTTCTAAGTGAAAGGCTCAGTTCTCCTGGAGGCAACAAGGCACAGGGGACTTGGGCTTCATGCTAGCTCCACTCCTTCCTTGGGCAAGTTATGCCTGTGAGCCTCAGTGTCCTCTCAGGTAAGATGGAGATGCCAGTACCTATTTTATAGGGCTCTTCTGAGATTCAAAAATAGTAAATCTCTAGGGATTGGCATAGATACATGGGTGCTTAAAAAAATAGGAGCTATTACTTAGTCCAGGGTCTTCCACTGACCTATGCTAGATAGTAATTTTGTTTTGTATTAGCCTAGTGCCCATACTACTTATTAAACATTTATTAAATGGGTACAAGTTGATGAATACATGGTTTTTACTCTCTATGCTCCTGCCATTTTCTCTAGGGACACTTCCTGGATTTGTCTGTGAAAGGAAACTCCTCTAACCTTAGGCCTCATCTTTCCACACTTAGAAATCAAGTCTCCCAGCAACACCTTTACATCTGATGCATGGAAGATGTATAATGTTTATTATTTTATGGTCTTGTTCAGCTGCTTGGTCCTCCCACTCCCCGACTCCTTTACGCTTACCCCAGCCTGGGCCTATCCTGCAGAGATTGTGGGTCCTTCCTGCCAAAAACTCCAGCAGGAGCAGGTCTGGGGATCTCCACTGTACAAAACCCAACATCTCCTCTCCATTCCCATGACTACCACTTGTACTCCACCACCATGTACTATCAGCTTCACTCCAATTATTATAACAGTCTCTGATTATGAGTTAGGGTCTTTGCCTCTGGCATCTGCATCATCTTTCCTCCCCATATCTATACTTTTCATTGCTACCGGAGTAAATTTTGCCTGTCCTACCCAGCTCACAGGATTAAATTCAAACACCTCTGCAACCCAGCCCCATTATGCTTACCCAACCTCCTGTGACAACTTGAATTTCTCTTCTCATGTGTCTGGTCTCTATGCCTCCAATGTGACAAACACATCCTGCCAGTGCCTTTGATGCTTTCACCGACTGAAATATTCCCTCCCCAACTCCTTTTCCTACAGTCAAATCCCATTCCTCAACTTAAGACCTACGATAGGTTTACTTCCTTTATGAAGTCAGCAAGCCCACTCTGATCTCTCTCTTCTGAGTACATTCTGTTCTTTCATTTGTTCTTTTTTTTTTTTTTTTGACCGGTAAGGGGATTGCAACCCTCGGCACGGTGTGGTCTGCACCATGCTTAGCCCATGAGCACACCGGCCATCCCTATATAGGATCCAAACCCACGGCATCGGCGCTACCACCGCTGCACTCTCCTGAGTGAGCCACGAGGCCGGCCCATTTCATTTGTTCTTTTAAGAAGCATTTATTACAGACAACTTCTTGTGTGCCAGACTCTGTGGACACACAAAAAAAGCCTGGGTTCCTGCTTTCAAGAGACTTACAGTTAGTGGGGAAGACAGACATGTAAATGAAGAACTATAATAGAATGTGCTGAGTACTAGAATGGAGGTGTACACAGCAAGTGCAGTGGGAACCCAGAGGAGGGGACCGCAGGAGGGGCAACCTCTGGGAAAGCCTCACCAAGGAAGCATAATTGGGGCTCAAACTTGATGTTCAAATAAGAGCTGCAGGGAGGGTGCTATCAAGCGGCACATAATCACTTAATTACATATTGCTTTGTATCTTTCTTCAATTGTTTGGTGTGCTTGTCTTGACATCTCAGTAAGGCTAATCAGCTCAAGAGCAGGGACAGGCCTGGCACTCTCTGTTCTCCCAGAGCCTACCAGCAGGGCTGGACAAACACTGTGTGTTCAGAAAAGGCTTGTTGACTTGAAGCAGATAAATAATCAAGGCTTCTCTGGGATAACTGCCTGGATGGAGCTGCAACCCCCTCCTATCACTTTGTCCTAGCTCATTCCCAGCAAGACACCCACACCCAAATCCCCGTCCTCTGGCCTCCTGCCTCCTGCCACAGGGGTGAGAATTCATCAAGAGACACTTGCTCATGCTGCCCCAGACATATTTATTGAGGCCTCTCGTTTGACCCAAATACATTAATGAGAGATTGCTGAGACACAGCCCCAAACACAGTACCCTCCCTTCCTCTTGGCCAGGGACAGGATGGTCAGAAGGATATAGGATTTGACAGAGTGAGGGAAGGCTGCGCACAGATGGAGGGAATAGAAGAGAGATGGGGCCCATAGATAAAGCAAGAGGAGAATCACAAGAAGAGTATGGGGAAAATGACGGAAGAAACGAATAAGAGACACAGGTAAGTTATGGGATAAGAAACAAGTCAGATGAGCAAGCAGGGAAAAGTAGCTCATCAGATGATGGGGATTAGGGTCTCAGCACCCAGCATATGGACCCCAGCTGGCCCTGTGGCAGAGAATGACCTAGTGTCCCTGGAGGAGCTTGGGGAAGGACAGGGAAGGTGGGAGGGAACGTGAGGAGCGCAGGTGGGGCTGGAAGATGGTTGTCACAGCAACTAATCATCATCGTCGTCATCATCGTCATCGTCGTCATCGTCCTCTGTGTTGATCTCGCCTGACAGTACATCCTCCAACCAGTCCTCTAGTTCCTCAGCAGAAGGGAGGTCTTCCTCATCGTCCATCTCCATCCATATGCTATCCGCCTAGGAGACAGCACAGGCAGGGAGGAAGCTAAGTCTGACCAGGGTCTTTGGACCTGTCCTCCCACTCACTGGACTCTACATCCTTTGCTACATCCTCTGTCCCTTCCTTTCATCTGTCTTGGCCAGGAAACTGTCCAGGTGAAAGTCTAGGTTAGACTAGTGGCAGGTGGGAGTGGAGAGAAAAGCTAGATTGACAAATAGACCTTCTCCCTTCAGTCTGTCTTCCATGCTTTTACCACACTGAGCTTCCTAAAACTGATCTCTCTATTATGCCCTTGATGCAAAACCTTTGGTGGCTCTTCATGGCCTATAGAATAAAGTTATCAACTCCTCAGCATTCAAGGCTTTTCATAACCTGCTTTTCCAGTCCCAGTACCATTTTCAGTGATCTTTAGACTCTGAAGCCATAAAAACCTACTTGCCCTTTCCTAAACCTGATATTCATTTTCCTACTTTCGACCTTTTGATCTTGCTTTTTTCTCAGTTTGGAAATGACTTTCCTTAATCACCACTTGTTGAAATCCTATACATTGTACAATCTCCATTTTAAATGCGACTTTCTCTTAAACTCTTTCCTGATCTCTCAAGCAGAAATCACTTTAATTTCTGTGCCTTTCTAGCATTTTATTTGTATCTTTATCATAAAGTTTATCAGATCCGGCCTTGATGGAATGAATACCTGCCTCCCCAATTAGACTGAGGACTCTATGAAAGCAGAGACTGGCTTATTCAATTCAACTCAACAAATATTTCTGAAGCACCTACAGTGTGGGCATGAGAAGACTTCTGCCCTCAAAAAGCTCAAAGTCTGCTGGAAGAGACAAACAAGATACATAAACAGCCATGTAGAAGTCATGTTCTCAAGGCCAAATGAGCTCTGGGAGTGCCATGGAGGGAATAATGCCATATGGGAGATCTGGAAAGATTTCATGGAGAAGAAAGGATTTGAACTGGGCCTTGAAGGATGAGCAACCTGTTCCAACAAATAAGGGCAGGGGCATGTTCAGACCCTCAGACCAGGCATGTCTACTTCCTCTAGAAAGGGCTTAATTTCTCGTTAGCAGAGGGGAGGAGAGCTACCTATGCTGTCAGGGTTGGGGTCAACCAGGGATAAGGGAGGGAAACTTACATCAGTAACATTGACGACTCCTATTTGTGGGGCTGACAAGTCAATGTCAAACGTCTTCTCCCAGTATGGGACTAGCTGCAGAGAGACCAAAATATAGCAACTTAATGGAGTCTAAAAACACATGAGTCCAAGAGGGTGAGTGTGAGGGTTGGCCCAGGGATAAAGAGAGGGGACAGCATCAATTGGCAGTCGATGGGGGACAGGTCCAGCTCTAGGGCCTGAAGACAGTGGGTAGAGGTAAGCAGCGAAAGAGTAGAAATCCCAATGTGAAAGTATCAGAAAGTTTCTCACGTTTCTATTTGTTCACTCAGTTGCTCATTCAACAATGAGTGCTAGGAGTTGGGTATTCGGCTGAGAACAAAACCATCCTCTGGGACATGGAATCTCTATGCAGTGCTTCTGTGATTGAGTGTGTACACCTGTGTGCAGGGTTATTGTGCCCATCTGCTCACCAGACCTCTGGTTTTTGCTAGGAGTTGGCCCTGGCACATGGGTTACCTGCCCAGCCCTGCTTTGGGAATCGAGTGTTGTGTCCCATGTGATTCACTTCCCATCCTGTTTCCCTTGCTCAGGATGTTCTCCATGCCTACAGTGCCCTTGAGCATGCAACAGGTATAACCTCCCAGAGCCCTCCAGCTAGGAGGGGGTATAGGAACTCTGAAAGAAAGCTCTGGCTAAGAAGGTGCCACAGTCTAAGGCCCACCTTAGGATAGCAGTGCCTGAGCTGTGCCTCTTACCAGGGGGAAATCATCAGGGTCGATCCAGATGATACTAAGATCAGGATTTTCAGTGTTATCTTGGGCCACAGACTTGAGAATCTCTAAGAACTCGTAGCCATCTTGGAGGGAACACAAGTGAGAAGTATGAGGTGGGGTAGAGAGGAAAGGGACCCAGGGGAAGTTGGAGTCCAGATCTATTTCCCTGCTCCCACAACTCCACATGTCTAGCCCCAGGCTGCTTGCAAATTCCCAGGAATGCCTCTCAAGTGAGGCCTATGCTCCAACAAACATACCTGCCTCCCTCTGCCTTCCCCCCAATCCAATCCAGTATTCCTCCCTCACCAGGATCATCTTCCTCTGCAAAGGCCACAATGTGGATTCCATCCAGATCATCCTCCTGTTAGGGGGTGAGAGGAAGAGCAGAGTGGGGGTGGGGAAGGAAACCTTACTGTTATATTCTCTGAAGTTGGAAAACCCAGAACAGATCCTAGATGTTCCTTGAACCTCAATTTTGTGGAAATCCAGCTTCTGAACCAGGTATATTCTTGTGATGTTGACCCTTTTCCAAGTGACACTGTCCCTTTCAGCTCCATGGCCCCCACACCTCCTCTGGATAATCCCTTTATCCCCAGAGCTTGGGTCTCCTCCCTTGTCATCTTCATCCACTTATGTCTGTCTCCCAATTCCTGACATGGTCTTCAGATCAGAAAACCTTCAACTTTTGCTGGTGCACTGTTTCTCCTAACAGTGGGCATGAGGAGCAGCAGGGTGGGATGTTTCTAGGACTTGAGTCTTCAGCCACCCATGCTCCTCACGGGCCTGCCCTGGCTGGGGGCACTCACCCAGGTCTCATACATACTCTCAGGCTTCAGTTTCCTCAGGGTTGACCTGGAAGAGACAGTCAGAAGGGCAATACTCAGTGAGTGAGAAGGACAGCCCCCCTCCAGAGGGTCCCCATAGCAGAGGCTGCCTCTGGGTCAGGCCCAGGGCACAGACAGCTTGTAGCCCAGAACAAAGCCATCTGGCAAAGTCTAAGCTCTGGGCACCATGCCCAGATCACTGAATGGTTAAAGCAGTGGGGGAGGGGATGGTGGACAAGGGGGCTGGAAGAGAGACTTTTGGTAGAAAGGTAAGAAATGGACATCTGGGTAGTCATCCATACATTTATATATTCATTCACTCACTCAATAAAATTGTGTGCCTGGTATATTCTCAGTAATGTGCTAAGTGCTGGGTAGAGTTGAACCAGGCAAACTTGTACCTGCCCTGATGAAGGGGGCATAATCTACTGGGAGAGGGTGAGAGAGAGTAAGTAGTATTTATTCTGATGAATGGGTATTTCTAGTTGTGGAATACTGTGAAGAGAATTGTGTGTGAGCGGAGGGCAGTTTTTCAACCTCAGCACTATTAACATTTGGGGTTGGATAACTCTCTATTGTTGGGTGCTGTCCTGTGCACTGCAGGATGTTTAGCAGTATCCCTGGCCTCTAGCTCCTAAATACCAGAAGCACTCCTCACAACCAAAAACGTCTCCGGATATATTGCCAAAATATCCCTTGGAAGGCAAAATCCTCCTTCCTCCTCGCCACTCCCTCCCCCAACCCTGTTGAGAACTATTGGTGTAGGGTAATATATTAGAGAGAACATGGGACAGATCAGGGTTCTGACACTACTTACGGAACCTCTTTCACTGAGGTTGTTAAAAGGAGTAAGTTAATAACAGAGACAGAAAGCACCTTGCAGTTCCTGGCAGACCACAGTCAGTCAACACTTGTTTGTTGACAGATTATTTAAATCACAATCAACATCACAGTGAACTATACACATTTATGGAGGACCTTCTCTGTGCAGGGCTCATGGCTAAGTACTGGGGTGCAAAATATCATGCAAAATTATTAGTGTATCAGTGAGCGCTGGTGCCCAGAGGTGCATTCATCTCCAGTTGAGACCACCTTCCTTGCTGGCTGAGATTCCCCCAGCCCATGTCACAGACTGGTGTTCTAGCCCAAGGAGGAGCCTACCCCACTCAGACCCCCACCTCCTGTGCTCCTCCACAAAGTTGACAATCTCCTCTTCACTATTGGGCTTGTCTGGGATGGTCACAGGCTCTTCCATGAAGGCCTCATAGAAATCGATCTCGTTCAGCTTCAGGGTCAGCTTCTTTGCCACCTTTGGGGGAGGAGGCAGGAGGGGAGTGGAGCAGGGGACACAGGGTCACAGTGAGAAGCAGTATTATGGGGGAATAAATATTAGGAAAAGAGTCAGACAACCTGAGTCCTTGTCACTGCCACTGTGACATTGGGCAAATATCTTAACTTCTCTGGGTTTCAGTTCAACAGGAGAGGGGGGTAGGTTAATCTAAAGCCCCTCTTTGGCTCTAACATCTATTGGGTGGGAGGAGCCTGGGGCGGGGTGGGGTTATCAGTGTGCAGGAAGGGCCCAGGTCCCCACCGATTCTGGAAGAGGAGGCTGGAGGCAGCTTAGGGGCATGAAGGGGACCCAGTACAGCCAGGGGGTGGGTGAGAACCTTGCTGTCGAAGGTGGCGAAGAAGGGGATGTAGGGATGGAACTCCTCGGCCGCGTCCTCGTAGGCTTTGTAATCTGAGGGGGAACGTAGAGTCAGGCTTGGGGAAACCAGTGTCTGCCAGCGAGTAATTCCCCTCTCCCTCTCCCCAGTTTTTCTTTGGCAGGTGGGGTTCATTTTGAGACACACCCCCTCTAGTGCTCTGAGAATGGGTAAAATACAGTAGTGCTATAGTCGGGGGAAGGTGGAAGGCTGGACGTGCTTTTCTGGGAATGCTCCAGAGCACGGAGATGAGAGCAGCAGATGGAGCTGACCGTGGCAGGGGAAGGAGAGGGGCAGGGAGTTAGGTGGAGATGCTGAGACAGCCGGTGAAGGGGCTGTAGGACGGGTGAGATGGGGGATCCATACAGAGGTACAGCAGAGTCAGAGGGCTACCCACGCTCTGAGTCTTTGCTCTTGAAGTAGCCAATGAGTTTGTTCTCATCCTCAATATTCTCAAAGGCCTGCAGTTCTCGTTCACCTTCAATCAATTCCACAGGGTCCTCTAGGACCTGGAAGAGCAGGACGTTCAAGGAAGAGAGTGAGTTTCTATTTTCACTGGTAGAACCAGAGAGAAGGATCTAGAGAGAAGAAGGCTGGGGAACTGGGAGAGGGGGCTAGATGTAGAGAGAGTGTGTATGTGTGTTGTCTGTGTTGTGTATGTGTGTGGTGCATGTGGGTTACAGTGTGTGTGTAGTGTGTGTGGTATGTGTTGTGTGTGTTGTGTATGTGGGGGTGCATGTGTAGTTTGTGGGAGGGTGTATGTGGGTTACAGTGTGTGTGTAGTGTGTGTGGTATGTGTTGTGTGTGTTGTGTATGTGGGGTGCATGTGTAGTTTGTGGGAGGGTGTGTGTGTGTGTAGTGTGTGATGTGTAATGTGTGTGGGGTGTGTGTTATTGTGTGTGTATTTATGTGTTATGTGTGGGTGTGTGTGGTGTGGGGGGGTGTAATATGAGTGTGTAGTGTGTGTATGGTGTGTGTAGTAAAGGGCTGGATGTGGCGCATGTGTGTGGTTGGCATGTGTGGTCTGTGTAGTGTGTGTGTGTGTGTGTGTGTGTAGTGTATGTGGTGTGTATGTGGGATGCATGTGTGTATGTGTGGGATGTGTATGGTGTGTGTAGTAAAGGGCTGGATGTGGCGCATGTGTGTGGTTGGCATGTGTGGTATGTGTAGTGTGTGTGTGTGTGTGTGTGTAGTGTATGTGGTGTGTATGTGGGATGCATGTGTGTATGTGTGGGGGTGTGTGCAGTGTGTGTGGTGTGAATGTGTACTGTGTGTGGTGTGTGTGGTACATATGTGGTGTGTGTAGTGTGTGTGGTGAATGTATGTGGTGTGTGGTAAATGTGTATGGAGTGTGTGTATGGTATATGTGTGTGATGAGTGTGCGGTGTGTGTGTTTGGTGCATTGTGTAGGGTATGTGTAGTGTGTGATGAGTGTGGTGCATGTGTGTGATGAGTTGTGTGGTGCATGTGTGTGGTGCATCTGTGTGATGAGTGTGTGGTGCATGTGTGTGGTGCATCTGTGATGAGTGTGTGGTGTGTGTGTGTGGTGTGTGCAGTGCGTTTGTGTGATGAGTGTGTGGTGCATGTGTGTGATGAGTTGTGTGGTGCATGTGTGTGGTGCATC